ATGTGCAAGTTTCACCTCCCATCTGCATTCAAATGTCTTGTCATCTGTAATCTCCAGGAAGCCTGAAAATGGCCACACACAACAGAAAAGGCATTTGTGTTTTGCAGTTTGCAAAGCTGGAATCATTCAGCATTGTGCAACATGAATAATCTGCAAGAGCCTAGAATTGTGGTTGCAACAATAGATATATATGCTCTAGTGAGAATAAAAAGAATTTGATTATCGGTTGGATCTGTGCTTTCTGACATGAGGTACATACATTGAGAAACTGTAATGGAAACTTGAAACTTGGATAGTTTGTAATGTACATTAAAACATTATAAAATGTTCTCAGATAATAATTGACATATTTTCAATAATTTAATGCAATATCAACTTCACTTGGCAAGAATTAACTGATAAATGCACGAATGAAGTGTGGAAGAAGTTATGGCTGAAGGTATCCAAGAATTCTCAACAAGAAAAGCCTGATCGATACAGCAGGACTAGGAGATGTAGACAAGCAGGATATTGAGGAGTTACTGCAGGTTTCTGGTGAAAGCCTTACCAATGACAACCTTCAAGAACTGGTAGAACAAGGAATTCATGTAGAACTTGAAATTAGAGATTCTGAAAACAAAGAACCCAAAAAATTTCTCTACAGATTTCCTTAGTAGAAATTTGATAACGATAACCGAAATCATTGATCAAATTGTAGTGAATAATCCAGATTTTGAAAGGAACACAAAAGTGAAATGAGGTGTTTTGGATGCAATCTTCTGCTACCAACATTTGCTTCAGGAAAGAAAAAAGCAACAAATGAAACTAAGCAACTTTATTGCAAAAACATGAATTTCAGAAGAGCCAAGACCTTCATCACAAAAAATGAAATTTAAATTTCTGTGTGCATATGTTGTTTGTGTGTTATTTAACATATATTATTATGCAAATTAATAAAAAAAAAATAACTTAAAATTAAAGTAAAATTTGTTTATTTTTGGTTGCGTGTTCCCCTTTCCCTATTTACTCTGTTAAAATGACCTCATTTAACACTGTTTCGTATAACGCTTTCCTGTCTAGGAATGCATCCCCCGTGTTATTTAATATATAGGAATGCATCCCCCGTGTTTTTAATATATAAACACACACAATATAATTTGCATAATTTTTATGTATTTTATAATAAGTTAAATTAAATCACTTTGAATGTACTTTTATTTACTTTTTGTTTGTATAACTGTTTCTAATTATCATCAAAATAATAATTTATTTACTGTACTTTGATCAAATAGTTCCAGAAATTAGTTTGATTTGTTTTATCATTACTTTATTTTACTCTTTAATTGCTTAAATTTGCCTTAATCCAATTTATTATTTCTTAACAAATAAAGTCAATATGGATAGAAAAAAATTGAATTTAGTTTTGTTTTTTAAGAATTCATAATTGTTCATAACAGTAAAATAAAATTTGAATTTAATAATTTGATTATTATTACAAATCATTATTAAGTGATATATTTAAAATTTCTTTCAAAAAAATTTCTGGAGAAAAGAAAATTTCTTATTCAATAAGCTTATAATATGCATGATTGACAGGTTTATTACTTTTTTTTTAAAAACAAAATTCAGTACAAAATGGACCATAGATCTATAATTAGGTCATAGAGAAGTTTTTTAAGATTTTAAATTATTAGGACAATGCAAGTGATTTAAGAGTTATGTAAATATAAATTCATAAAGAAAAATATAAATTTTTTAAAAGTGAAATGTATTTTCTTTAATAAAACCTTTTAATTATTCTTAATATAAAACAACATTAATAAGTTACATTTTATTTATTTACCCATTTAAAATCAACATAGTTCCCAAACAATCAAATATTCAAAATAAAAAAAGTTGAATAACCAAACTTGCATATTAGAAAAGAAAAATTTGTTATCATTTATAAGGGCATTGATATATTCAGTTTTTCGAAATTATTTTTCAAGTAATTATAATAGATTTTTAGTAATTAGTTTATTCTCATTTATTTATTTTAGTAAATGTCCTTATTATAGTGAGTAAATAGTTATAGTTTATCTGTAAATTTATAGTTATCATTATAAAATTTATTTCAAAGTTACACTTGAATGATTATTTAGAGCATTGCATGGAAATATTTGATAGATTAATTTTTTTCACTTCAATGTTCCATTACTTGATATGTTATTAACTTTTCTTGTGGAAAAAGGAAATGAAATTTTGTTTCTTACACTTTACAGATAAACTCTCATTATCATTATATAAATACACAAAATATAGTGAAACAAATTAAGTTACATAAATAAAAACAAATCTGTAAAACTTTTGAATTACAAAATTATAACAGAACTAACTTTTGTTTTAGTTATGTGATATTCAACAAAAGTAAAATCAAATCTTAACTAGTAATGACATAATAATGTGTCTTTAACAATGCTTTTTTTGAGGTAAGCAAATTCTTATTTTATAATCTATAATAAGTTTTGAGTAACAGTTTAATAATTTCAATATAACAATTTCAATTTATCCCATTAGAAATTTTTCAAAGTTCAAAGTAATCACTGAAAATACTCTGTTTTTTAATATAAGCCATAAGCTTAACTGTGTTAATACCGTGGAATACCAGATCATCCAACCTGCTACATGAATGAAGGAGTGCTACCAAGAAAAAAAAAAGCTGATGTCAAATGAATAAAGCTGACATTCAAAATAACATAAAGCATTTATTTTTCTGTACTTTTTATTAATAGCTATGCTGATGATTGGATGACATAACAACTTGTTATTTTTGCTTCTAAAGTCTCTAGCTATTTTAGCCAATTGGGTCATAAGAGTATAGATATACAGATTATGATGACTAGATAGTTGAGGAGACTAGGTTATCTGCCCACTGTGAGACCTGAGAGCACATGAGAGATTTGAATTTGGGTCTGAATTGGATCTTCATGAATCTTTCACAATGATTTAGTCATGTTGATATCAGTTCTTCTCTGTCCTTTCTACTTACATTTGTTTTTGTGATGTGTATGTTGCAACCAGTGTGGTGGATATAATGAATTTACCTCAGAAAAACTTTTGAGCACATAAAGAAACATGCATCTTAATCATCCAAATTCCACTTTTATTAGTTAATTATCAAAAATTGATTTAAATTTAATCACTTTAAAGAAAAGATTTAAATACAACATGATTTTTCAGTTTGCATCTGAAGTTTGTATATAGTTAATCGGGGCCTCCTGCCACTAAGGTTTCCATATCTGGTTGCATCTTTCATCTATCTAACTATGCTCTTGAGATTAAGGAAAGACAAACAGACAGACGACAGTGGAAATTTATTTAAGGAAAGACAAACAAATGGACCAGTTTATTACGTCATTAATTAATTAATTAATTAATCAAATTCATTTATTGGGCTACAATTTTTTCATATTGTAGCCCAATAAATGAATTTGATTAATGAATGACAATAAACTGGTTTGCAAAATAGTTTCTCTCACTCTGACTATTACTAGAATAGTTAATTTCCAACTGACGGTTGACTGAACTCAAGTATATTGTAGAATTTTAATTAATATTTTAATTCCAAAATTAATATTTTAATTTTGGAAAAATATACTGGTCATCTTTGAATCAATGCATACAATCCTGCTCCAAGAAACTAGAGTAGAAAATAATAAGCTGGAACAATTCTATTAATTACATTTTACAGTTTTTGCTTCCTCCTTTAGTTTGTTGCAGTTAGATTCTGATATTGGTTTTATTTTTTCAATGTGTTTCTATTGACTGTTTTAAGACAAAATTATGTTATAGAAGCAATAATAAATAGTTATAGTATAAAGGCGGTGAAAAGTTAATTTGTCAAAAACAATCAATATCTGAGATTAAAAAATATTGCACCGAGTAAAAATCATGGCACCCAAAATGAGTCAAATTTTTTCTTGGGAGTTTCTCTTTGATAAAGATAAGCTTGACACTACCATAAACTTTTTATTATTGTCTCTGCACTTTGTGTTCTTGCTTAAACAACATAGTGACATAATGAAGTTTTCAAGAACAAATTTCAAAGATACTTTTTGTTTTAAAATTTAATGTTTATTAAGCTTTTGTATCAGCTTCTAGTCTGAGGACTTATCACATCTTTTGAAATGTTTTCACTTGGACACCAGCTGATCAGCTGATTGAAAAGAAAGTTTTAGTGTGGGTTATTATAAGTGTATTTTTATTTTGCTTTGTACTTGCTTGAATTATTATTTATTATTTTATTTTAAGTAAAATGGCTTGCAGGAATTTTTATATCAAATCAGAAATTTAGAAAACAGCAATGTTTGAGTGTGGTCCATCAGTGGCTGAAACCACTGAATACTGATAGTGGTTGCAGGTTTATGTCTCGCTAACAAGCTGGCTGTATGAAATTTTGTGAGCCTTCTTCACATAACTAATATTTAAAGAGCTAGGTTCCTGTAAAAATCCTGTCAGGAAACACTCCCATTTGGCAGATCTCCCAACTTGCATTGCGTTGAACTATCAATCCAATCCTGGTTTGTGTGTTACACAACTATAAGGATGTAAATGACAGACCTGTAGCTACAAAGGGCTATGTGGTGGCTAAGCCCTCAGTGTAGTAGTGCCCATATGTAGTGTATATATGCTTTTGCTTTCATCACAAACTTAAGTTAATGTTATTTATTCTTACACTTAAACTGTATCAAATAGACATAGTGCTGGCTAAAAAGATTTTTGTTCTATTTTTAAAAATTTTTTTTTAAATATTTGTCTAAATTTTTGTTTTCTATTACTGAGTAGTTTAAATATAGTTAAATAGTAGTTTCAACTACTGTTATAAAAACAAAATAACCACATAGTTAACTAAGAGTTAAATTACTGTACATTGTCTTTTATATTAGTTAACTACTTTATATTTAATAAATAAATAAATAAAATGACCAAGACAACAATGAAATATAAAATATATTAATAAAATATTTTATTTATTAATTAATATATATTTGTGATTGTGCCATTGCCCAGAATTTTTAAATGTTTTTGCATATCAAGAAAGTAGATGAGTAGCCTCAAATAAAAGGTTGACTCTGCCATAAAGACTTATATTCCTGAAGTGTTGAAAAGGACAAAATATGAAAACATTGGAAGAAACAATAAATGTCATGAATATATTTTATACTTTATATGTAGTTATTGCACACCATTTTTAAATGGCAGAAAGTAATACTGTTGTGCCTAAACAAAAGAAAACATTTGCACAATCAATGTAATATTTAAATATTCATAATTATTATTAGTAATCAAAATTCAGATTATAACATTTAAGCTTGCCAACTCCTGACGAGTTCATTCCATGAGTTTTCTATTCTAGGAGTAAAAGATTTTGGGAGATTTGACATTCAGAAGATGGAGAATTTTAAAAATTTTTGATAAATTTTGGGGGTCTCCAGGTGAATTAAGGAGAATTGGCAACTCTAATAACATTGAAAAGCACAATGAGTTTATAACTTATTAGGATGACAATTATTGTATTACATGCCTTAACTGTCAAAGTACTTTGAAATGATGTCATTACGTAGATAGAGGATAATCACTCAAAATTTATCAGCTTACTAGATATGATTAAATACTCTTGTTTGAATTTATATCAGTTTAAGTGTGGCAGTGTTGTCACAGGTGGCAACACTATCTCAAACAGATCATAATATTTTTTTAAAATTCGGTTTGTGTTAGCCAGTCTTTATCAAATTTACAAGTTCACTTCCTCTTTTTTGGTTTTCAATTTCTTGAGTTGTCATATTAAATAATTAAAATTGAAATTATAAACTTGTAAACTGAAACTGTCACATTCGCTTTACAATAAGTTTGTTGCAACACAAGTCCCTGACTGGTTTGAATTTGAAATCATACAAGACATGCGCAATGTCATTTTACAGAAAAAACTGAACAATGCGCATGCCAGTTTTAAACCAGTTATGGACTGGTGTTGGAACAAACCTAATATTTGCCAGAGATATTTACAAGTTAGAATTTTAAAAGTACATTTTCTGTCACTCTTAGCCTAGGGATAAGTTTGGATGGGTGTGAAGTTAGTCTTTAACTGTTAAAATAAAATACTTGCAAATATTTTAATAAATTTATTTTGTTTCATCATAATTTCACAATTTCTACAAAAACTGGACAAATTAATAATTAATCCAGACCATGAATTTAAAAACCAGCTTGTCTGGATGAAAACAGGCCTGGTGGCAACACTAAAGTGTGGATTGAACATACAGAAAATGCATAGGAGAGAATAAAGGTAAAGTATAGTAAAACCTCAATTTAAGACTTTCAGATTTAATGGACAAAAAATTTGACCATAGGAAAAATTTAAAGCCTCTTTTCTTCACAAATAGAGCATGTGAAAAGGTTGGAACAATGAATCAATAAGTGTAAATTACTGAATGTATATAGTATTTCACTCATACTTGCACATCATAACATTTTAACACATCTTGCACATTTAAGTTTATTATTAATAAACTGATATTTTAAAAAATATTTGATTTAACAGATTTCTAGCAATAGTGGATACTTCTTTCCCTCAATTAGTCTATTAAATTAAGAATTTACTATACAGTCGACCCCCCCCTATAAGATCATTGATTTTTCCGTTTTATCTGAATTACATGTTGTACGAGTCACTTAGATTTTACAAATATGTGAGCCATTCACAGTCCGGCACACGTATTTGTAAAATCTAAGTGACTCATACAACATGTAATTCAGATAAAACGGAAAAATCAA